GGTCCATCACTCATGGGGAAGCAACATTGAGATGAATCCGGGGCTTTCAGATAAACATGTTTGAGGTCTTTCTTGAGGAGTTCAATATTTTTCAGCAAGTCTAGGGTTGCACGATTTGTTTGGTCGTTACCCTCTTTATTCCTTAATTTCTCTCCCAAGTCGTGTACAAGAGTTGATACCTCCCCGGTAAGTGCTCCAACACGAGCCAAGAGATCAAAAAGTTTGTCATGATGAATAAAGTCCTTAGGCATATCAGAAAGAATAATCAATAGGAATTCCACCATGACATGAATGTTTCGAGCCCCTGAAGTGCTAGGGGTGATAACAGTTACCATATGCTCTTGTAGATGAATCAAATATTTTCTGAGAATGTCCGGAGAAGTTTCCAGGAGCTTCTTAATGAAGCGTCCAACTTCTGCTGAAGTTGAAGCTTTCAAATTTGTATTACATATGTGCATAACCTCCAGTTCAGTTGGAACAATCTTCAAGAGTAGATGTGCTAGCTTGAAGAGTCGAGAGTCTCTATCATTCTGATCATCCTCATCTAGCTCGGAGATTTGAGAGTCTTCATCAGTTTCATCATCCTCATCTAGCTCAGAGAGTTTGAGGAGTCTTCATCAGTTTGATCATCCTCATCTAGCTCAGAGAGTTTGAGAGTCTTCATCAGTCTGATCTTCCCAAAGGAAGTGTCCTACTCTCTCAGCCATGAGACGAAACAGAGGTAAGACATTCTCAACCATCTCATGCATAATGCAACCATTCACTATCAACCCATGGAAATCTCTTACGTTGCCACATACATTCTGAAGAAGCTCATATTGAGTCACTCCAGGAAACATCTTTTCAGCACGATGCTTGGATAGATGATGGAGATTCAGGAGGAGGAAGTTCAAGTGCTCCTCAGTCATGGTGGCGCTTGATGTAGAACGATGATGTGAGCTGATACAATGATCGATATTATCCCTGAGGGTAGCAAGGACATGATGCATGTCGTATTTACACGGGCCGTTGTTGCCAACATCATTCCCAGTTGAGATGGGGTTGCACCAGGGATCAGTCCTTAGCCCTTTTCTATTTGCTTTGGTGATGGATGAGTTGACACGGTCCATTCAGGAGAATGTCCCATGGTGTATGTTATTTGCGGATGACATAGTACTGATTGATGAGACGCGGGACAGAGTTAATGCGAGGTTGGAGGTGTGGAGACAAACGCTGGAGTCCAAAGGGTTCAGGTTGAGTAGGACCAAAACAGAATATTTGGGGTGCAAATTCAGTGATGCTTTGGATGAGGCAGATGTGGATGTGAGACTTGCCACACAGATCATTCCTAAGAAAGAAAGTTTTAAGTATCTTGGGTCTGTAATCCAAGAAAGTGGTGACATCGACGATGATGTCACACATCGCATTGGGGCTGCTTGGATGAAATGGAGGCTTGCCTCTGGAGTCTTGTGTGATAAGAAAATCCCGCCTAAACTTAAAGGTAAGTTCTACAGAGTGGTAGTTAGACCGGCCTTGTTGTATGGAGCGGAGAGTTGGCCAGTCAAGAACGCACACGTTCATAAAATGCATGTTGCGGAGATGAGGATGTTGAGATGGATGTGTGGGCACACTAGGAGCGATAAGATTAGGAATGAGGTTATCCGGGAGAAGGTGGGAGTGGCCTCGGTGGTGGACAAGCTGAGGGAAGCGAGACTGAAATGGTTTGGACATGTGAAGAGACGGGGCGCAGACGCCCCAGTGAGGAGGTGCGAAGGGCTGGTAGTAGAGGGTACGCGGAGGGGTAGAGGTAGGCCCAAGAAGTATTGGGAGGAGGTGATTGACTTGGCCTTGGCCTAGCTACACATTACCGAGGACATGACTCTAGATAGGAAGGAGTGGAGGTCTCGTATTAAGGTTGAAGGCTAGTAGGGTTAGCGTGTTGTCTTTCCTGGTGAGGGTATGGGTTGTTAGCGTTTGTAGGAGTCTTAGCCGTACACTTGTAGTTCTTGTATGTGATCCCTATTGCCTTATGTTGTTTACTGCGTTTCACTTCTCGCATTATTTTCTTGATGTATTGCCCCCTTTGTTGATTATGCACTATTTTTCTTATTGGATGTTATGCTTTATATAATTCTCTTCCTTTACTTGGCTTTGTTACACTTGAGCTGAGGGTCTTCCGGAAACAGCCTCTCTACCTCCACGAGGTAGTGGTAAGGTCTGCGTACACTTTACCCTCCCCAGACCCCACCTAGTGGGATTTCACTGGGTATGTTGTTGTTGTTGTTGTTGTTGTTGCCAACATCATATAAAATTGATCGAAGCAGATTCTCAACCTCTTTTCCTTTGGCAGTCATTACATCTTCAAACCGCTCCAAACCGGAATAAGAAAGCTGGACATATGTACAAATAAATGCCAGATCCACATGAAGAGCTTTTTGATTTTCCTCATTCTTTAATCTCTGTAGGAAATCCCGAAGATCGGCAATGTCCTTGCGAAGAGAAGAAAATAACACCTGGCAAAATAACACATATCAAATTTTTAAAGCGACATATCTACAATTCAATACTTTACAGTTTACTCTCTATCAAATAACATACCAATGAGTTGTTTGCTTCTTCATTATCTTTTCGTTTTTCCATATGATTGTAATTTTCCTTTCAAGTTCATAAGACCTGATGCATAAAAAGTACATAAAACTTTATCAGGATGAAAAGATAAGAATTTTCACAGGAGAGACTTTTTAGTAGAAACACCATGCATGTCGTATTTACAATTGATTTTTGACAGTTTTTGTATAATAAATTTGTAACCATTATTTTAATTCAATAGATAATATTTGGGTATTCCACAATTCTACTTCAATTACAGATCAGAGTAGCAAATATTAAGAGAAAGAACATATTGGCAAACCTTTTTATTTGATGACTTCACTAGAATGGCTTGGTAGTTTCTATTAAAGCTAAGTCTGATGTATGTGTGGTGTTAATACTTAATACACAGTTTAATTATTAAAAACTTGTATATCTAACCATAACCCAACCAGACATATTCTATATATATATATAGGCACTTAGCAAGTATCTGTGTCGACCTAAGAAGTCACACTTGGAAGCATCGATCCATGAGGATAATAATACTCTTATCTATCAAGCAGTAGTAAGGAACAAGTTTCAGCTTACTGATTGGGCAGCATATATATCCGAATTTCACATAAAAATCTTCATTTCTCTCCAACTTAAGAACTAGATTGAACTTAATTACTACCAAAGGTGAGAAATTGAAGAAAGTCATTGTTTTCAATAGAAATCGATGAGTTAACTAACCTTTTTACTTGATGAAACTAAAATATCCTCTCCTTGCTTTGTTATATCATCAATTATGGAACTAGCTAAACACAAACTATGTATGCAAGAATATATGTATAACTAATGACACAAATTGGGTTTAATGCATGCCTTTTTTTTGGGAGATGTGTTGGAGTTACAAATGGGCGGGTAGAATCAGATATTATCAATTCTCCTTGCTTTGTTATATATACTAAGTGTTGATAATATGGATATCCATACCAAACCAAGAGTAATGCTTTAAAAAAGACTCTTTTGTTAGTGGAGAAAAGAATCTCAGTATTAAAAAATTTATAGAGAATATCATGCATAGTATTCCCTCATAATTGTATATATATATAGTATTAAAAAATTTATAAAGATAAGTTAGAGCTACTAAAAAGCAAAAGCATGAATCACTTTTCTACTACAAAGTCCAAATTCATAATTAAGGTATAGATTAATTTAATTAGAAAGCTAATCAAAATTTCTCATAAGAATAATACTCTGCTCACTTTATATTACTTTTTCCTTTTCAATTTTATTTGACACTATTTCCTTATTATTCCATCCAGATATAATATTAACATTTTTTAAAATATAATTTCTTAATTAAAAGCTTTTATTTCTACACAAATACTATGATATAATATGTTTACCATGTCAAATTTCAAAAGTCTTTTTTTTCTTCTTTACGTTAAGCTTTTACGTCTTTTTTTGCTTCTTCTGTTAAGCTTTGTAAAAATTCAAACGAAATGATGAAACAAGTGTTTTGATTCTAATTTCTAAGAAAACTCGAACACAATGATGTGTTTAGTATGAAGGAAAATAAGTAATCGGAAAGAGAAGAAGAAACAATACAACAAATGGTTGCCATTTTTAATGTGATCATATCTATCTATCTATCATCTTCTCAATTTCTACTTAATAATATTCACAAACAAACAGTTCAGTTGAGACTTTTATCAAACACATTGTAGGCATTCTTTCTAACATTTGATCAACCACATTGTAGGCATAATTTGGTTTCTAAGAAGCAGAAACAAATGAAAAAAAACCTGTTTTGGTGATTCATTCCACTTTTGCTCATCAGTAAGAAATGCTTTTTCCAACCACAAGGGAATTCCCAGCAATATTTTCTCTTGCCAAGTTGGTACTCCATCCGTTTCAATTAGATTGTTTGGTTTTGACTTGACACACGGTTTAAGAAAAAAAAAAGAATACAGAAAACATTTTAAATTTTGTGCTCTTAAACTAAAGATATATGGAGAGTTTTTTAAAAAGGAAAAGAGATTGATGGTGTATGATCTTCTCCAATAACCTTTAACTCCCATGTTCCATCGACTACAACCAGCACACTAAAACAAAATCAATGTAGTACTGATCATACCTGCAGTTTTTCCTATGCAGAAGCCATGGAGCAATTTCTGGTTCTATAGAATGTCGATGCTGCTGCATCTCTATCAACAGTCCAAACAGAATCAGGCATGACAACCTCTGTCCTGTATGTGTAGAGTTTCTCGATGGGGCAACTTTCTGGATCAAGTTAGGACAGTTCCTTGAAATAGTAACCAAGGTGCCATTTTCAGCCAGCTGAGACTGCTAAAAGGTCTCTCTCAGTCAAGGATACATGCGCATATGGATCGGAAGAAAATACCTTAAGTTCTTCAAGGTCCTTGCAATAGTCGGCAATCTCCTCAAGACCGGTATCTTCAATATAATCTACCACCTACAGTCAGTCACATTCAGATGCAAATATTACAACTTTTTTCACCTCTAAGGAAAGGGTAATCTACCTTAAAATTCTATGAAGACATGTGTGGTTTGAACTTTGGTTAATAGTTAACAACTTCCAATGAAGTCACAAATGGTCAATTTGAGCCCAAATAAAAAACATACAACAATCTGAAATTTATGGAAAATTAAATAAAATAAATCTAATAGAGAACACAAAAAATAAATAGGGTAGAAAAAATACAACATACAAATAAAAAAGAATGCATCCTTTAAATTTCAACATTCCCATTTTTGACACTCCTTTGTAAGAATGGCAAAACAAGTTTAAAACCAAAAGATTCAAGAAAATTTCTTCTCTAAAATTCAAACATGTACCGTATCGAGTCTCCAAACTATCGAGAGCATGCAAATCTATACAAAAGTGACACTCAAGCTAGAACTTACCCACAGCCGCTGCAATTTGTAAGAGTGTCTGCTCATCTTGCCAAGATTAGGAATTCGAGTGGTAGAATGGCTTAAATTCAAAGACATGAGTCTATGGTGGACATAAATAAGAGAAAAATTAGTCTGGCACAGCAAAGAGAATTGTAACCATCTTCTTTACATGCACTCTGCAAAGAAAGTTACACCGGTCAAAATAATTGGAACAAACATAAGTTATTCCATTTTATGTGGCACTCTTTTTCTTTTTAGTAAGTTTAAAAAAGAATGACGCCTTTCCATATTTTCAAATAACTTAATTTTGAACTGCTTATTTTACTCTTAATGATATGCTTTTAAAGCCACAAAAATGTCATGGCATGTTCAAGAAAAGAGGTTCCAAAAGTATTCATTTCTTTCTCAAACTTGGTACCCAGCCAAATTCTGCCACATAAAATGAAGTAGAGTAGGCAATGTACTCGCAGGGTAAGAGAGCTCAAGACTTTTCACACATAGTGCTTAAGAGCTACTTAAGTAACGGGATATTATTCCGGCCATTGACCTGAGGTTCGTCCCCTCCCATCACATCTTAAACATATTCCTTAATATTCATAGCAGAATCATTAAGTTGAGGGCTCTATACAAGTTCATTTAGGAAGTCCAATTTTGGGAACCAATAATGCTCTGTTGAATAATCATACGAGACTAGGCCTCCACTATGTTCTCTCTGATTGTCAGAGCCTCCGTAAGTTGGAGATTAGAGACTGCCCTTTTGGCGATGAGGCTCTGTTGGCTAATGCTGCAAAGCTGGAGACAATGCGATCCCTTTGGATGTCTAATTGTTCAGTAAGTTTTGAAGCATGTAAGCTACTAGCCCAGAAGTTGCCAGGGCTTAATGTTGAATTTATAGACGAGAGGGGTCATCCGGACACGAGACCAGAAAGTTGCCCTGTTGAGAAACTTTATATATACAGGACAGTGTCAGGAATGAGGTTCGACACTCCTGGTTATTTTTGGATTATTGATGAAGATGCAGCATTGACTCCATATAGCAACGGGAATTGCTCTCTGGCTTCTTCTTAGGAAGACTTCAGGTATTAGTTCTATGTTGATCTTTCACCCGCTCTTACTTGCTTGAGCCTTGTGTAGTTGCAGTGCTGGTTATGGTGGCAGTGAAGCGATTTGACCCTTTGTTGAGCGATTTCGCAGCAATTAATTACAAATAATGAGTTTAAACTCTTGCTGTTGTGCTATATCAGTAAGGACAACTATTGTATTTTTGGGTTTGGGGGGGGGGGGATGTTCAACAGTGTGTCCTATTTTGTATCATTATGTATCGGTTTAACTTTGAAATGGTGCTGTCAATGATGTACTTCTGGTCATGTATTTTTGTAATTCTCTTTGAAGATTAATATGAACCTTTCATTCATTTGAGTGCTGGAAATCTCATCTGTTGAACGTTTAGAAGAAGGTATTTCAGTGTTCTACTATGAGTCAGTTTGATAAACACACACTTATTTTCTTTCAGAGTGTGATTTCAGCCCAAGTTGGTTGTATGTTTGCGGAGAGGAAGTCTTGAGTGCTTATAAGCTCACTTCACGGCCTAGCTTTTGTGATGAAAGTTCGTTGGGTTTGTGACAGACTAGTACCTTGATTGAGGTTAAACGATCGTGCTTTGAGCACATAAGATGGGACTTCAGACCAAGTTAGACACAAAGGAGGTTTGGACATCCGAAGGCAAATCCACAATGTAATCTATGAATTTATGTGAATCCCTCAAACTTTTGTCAAAATCCTATACTTGTGTATTAAATTATCGACTTAATAATTATAAATATGTGATTGAGAATCTAATTATTATTGATATTAATGCGAGGTCGCCATAAAAACTTGTAAACATCAAATCCTAGATTCGTCTTGCATGCGGATAATACTCAGTCTACAAGAAAATTAATGTGTGTGTGAATGCAAAGAAAAAATTGAAGAGAGAATGACAATGGCAAACAACATAGCATAGAATAAGAGATACCTAGTGGCAGTGATAGGAAAAGTACAAAGATTAATGTTAAAAATATCCACTTTAGATAAGTCACTTTAATTTGGCATCAACATCATATAATTGCTTACCTTAAAATTACGTATGTTGAAACCTATACTTGACATCGGTATGTCTCGTGGTCACCCATATACCAACATACCTCATGTGTGACTTGCAATCACAAATGACACGTGTCAAATGGACAAATGATATGTGTATTTATAAAAAATATAATTTTTGTTAAAAGAAACTCAGAGGAATCCCACAAAAATGTTTCATAACCACTTAACAGAATTTTCTTAATCATATACAATATCACCCAGCAAAGTACAATATACTTTTAATGCTACTTATATAACGGGATATTCTTCTTGCCAAGGATCTGAAGCTCGTCCCCTCCCCTCAAATCTTCAGCGTATTCCTTAATCTTGAGAGCAGAATCTTCAAGTTGAGGGCTGTTTACAAGTTTGATAATTTTCAATGAATAAATATCCCCAAAACTAGGCGGAATCTCCTCAAGCTTACGACATCCCTCCAGTTTTAATTTCTCAAGGGAGGGAAAGGATTCCTCTCCAACCTCCCACTTGGAAAGTTTCATTTCATGGAACTTCAAATATTTGAGATTCTCAAAGGTGTCTTCCTCCCCCATGTTCCATTCTTCCCCCCATATGATTGTAAAATAAAGGAACAACTCTTCAAGGTTGGGCAGTCTCCCTATTGTTGATAGTGAATCGGATGTCAGAGGAAAGTCACCCAACGACAATTTTTTCAAACTCGAAGGGAAGTGAAAATCCCATGGCCGATTTATGGCTGCAGAGGACCCACTGTCATTTGTGTTTGAACTTTCAAAACCTACATTGAGGTCTTCTAGTTCAGTTAGGCAATCCAATTTCGGGAACCAATATTGCTCTGTTGAATAATCCCATGATTCCATGAGTTCAAATGAAAGCACTTGAAGATTGGGAAGCCTTTTGAAAATATCCTCTGTATCTTTCCAATAGGAAAGCACGAGTTTATGTAATAATGTCAAGTTCTCTAATTTTGTGTCCTCTGCTATCAGAATTGATTCATCTGCATCCATATCAAAGAAAGAACAAGCAGTAGTGATCAGCAGTCGCAACTTTACAAGATCCCAAATTCTCGGTAATAGTATCAAGGTTGATTCTTCATTATCCACACACAAGATTTCTAGATTCCAGAGGTTTGAGAAAGACAAAGGCAGAGATTTAACTTCTGTCCCAATGCTTAAGTACCTCAAATGATTCAACGTGCATATTTCATTCAGCAAAGAATCTTTCACCATGATAAAAGAGGGATTCAGGTTCAACACTCTAAGAAGCCTCAAGTGTCTTAGATGAAATGTATCAGAGAGACAATCGTCCAGCTCGTCTCCATTTATCCTCAAAGAATAGAGGTGTTTACCAGAATGCCTTTTCTTATTTGAACCAAACAGGACAAAATTAAGCCCAAAGTGCTCCTCATCATCATCAATGGTAATTTGACGTGGCAGCAAATCTGATGGAGCACTTGAACTTATCAAATCAAACAACTTTTCTTCTCTTGCTTTTATCAAACAAAAGTCATGCACAAGATCATGAATTTGGCAAGTAGGGTAATCACCTATCTCATTGAAACAAATTACCAAGCTACTGGAAATTAAATCATCCACAAAATCTTCACCACTTCTTCCATACTCTTCATATCTGTCTTTTCCACAAATCCTTCAGCACCCCAAACAATTTTCAAGTCAAAGATTGGCGTCGCAGTGTCCTTCGGGTTACTTGCAAAATGAAGCAAGCATGGCTTCAGGTGATCAGGTAAGTGGTCATAACTTATTTCTATAACTTTCATCACTTCCACTTCATTCTTCAAAATGAAGGAATGCAAATTATTTAAAACTTCAAGCCACACACTCTTTTTCTTTTCCCTCCCAGCAATACCTCCAGCAATCAGATCCACCACCAAAGGAAGCCCTTTACAATTTTCGGCTATTTCTTTACCAACATCCAATAGTTCATTAGGGCTACTCTCGTTTCCAAATGCCCTTTTCTCTAATAACTCCCAACTTTCTTCTGATCTTAACAATCGAAGGTTAAGAGGAGCAGTGTAGAGCTTTCCATGCAAAGCCACTTCCTTTTCTCGAGTTGTCAATAAAATTCTGCTTCCTTTCTTAACTTCTGGAAAAGATCTTGTTAACTCATCCCATGTAGTAGTATCCCACATGTCATCTAAGACAATAAGATACCTCTTTCCAAACAGTTGTTTCCGTAGCTTATCAGCAACATCAATATTCTCACTCAATGTTGAATCGGAGTCACTAACTTGATTGAAAATTTTATCCAACAACTTCTTCTCGTCATATTCTTGGTCAACTGTGCACCATGCACGAAGGTCGAAATGACTAGAAACTGATTTATCATTGTATACTTTGTATGCCAAAGTAGTTTTACCTGAACCCGGCATACCAGTGATCGAAATGACATCTAGATCTGTCGGTCCACCAGTGAGCTTTCTAAGTATCCATTTTGTCTCCTCCTCAAAACCTACAATTATTTTACCAGTTGTCAATGATTTGCTCTCAATGGGCTTCTTGGAAGAGTTCACAACGATGAGACCTCTATTTTCGGGAATCTTCTCATGTAAATTGGAGATATCTTCTTTGATAAGCTTGATCCTTTTTATGGTAATGGGAAGTGAGAAAATAAGATGTAAGAGACCATTATCTCTAACAATAATAGAATCAATGACATCTTTTGCCTCATATGCCACATCTAAAACACGTGCCCAGAGATCCTTATACCATTCTTGCTCAATATTCACGAAAAAAGATCTTATCGGTTCGAGGTCATGTTTCACCAACCCAATTTCTTCCTTTATCAAAGCAATTGAATAAGCATTGGAATCCAGCAAATCATCTAAGTGTCTCTGTAGCAGATGCATGAAGAGTGGTCCATCACTCATGGGGAAGCAACATTGAGATGAATCTGGGACTTTCAGATAAACATGTTTGAGATCTTCCTTGAGGAGATCAATATTTTCCAGCAACTTTAGGGTTGCACGATTTGTCTCATCGGTACTCTCTTTATTCCTTAATTTCTCTTCTAAGTCGCGAACAAGAGTTGATACCTCCTTGATAAGTGCTCCAACAAGTGCCAATAGATCAAATAATTTGTCATGATGAATAAAGTCCTTGGGCATATCTGAAAGAATAATTAATAGGAACTCAATCATGACATGAATGTTTCGAGCCCCTAAAGTGCTAGGGGTAATAACAGTTACCATGTGCTCTTGTAGATGAATAAGATATTCCCGAAGAATGTCCGGAGAGGTTTCCTGGAGCTGGTTGATGAAGCGTCCAACTTCTGCTGAAGTTGAAGCTTTCAAATTTTTATAACATATGTGCATAACCTCCAGTTCAGTTGGAACAATCTTCAAGAGTAGATGTGCTAGCTTGAAGGGGCGAGAGTCTCTATCATTTTGATCCTCCCAAAGGAAGTGTCCTACTCTCTCAGCCATGAGTTGAAACAGAGGTAAGACATTCTCAACCGTCTCATGGTTAATGCAACCATTCACTATCAAACCATGGAAATCTCTTACATTGCCACATACATTCTGAAGAACCTCATAATTAGTCACTCCAGGAAACATCTTTTCAGCACGATGCTTGGATAGATGATAGAGATTCAAGAGGAGGAAGTCCAATTGCTCATCCATCATGGTGGCATCTGATTTATAAGAATGATGATGAGAGCTGATACAGTCATCCATATTACTGGCGAGGCTAGTAAGGACATATTTACACCCAGCGTTGTTGCCATCATCATCCAAAATTGGTTGAAGCAGATTCTCAACCTCTTGTCTTTTTCTAGTCATTATATCTTCAAACTGCTCCAAATTGGAATAAGAAAGCTGGACATATGTACAAATAAATGTCAGCTTCAATTTCAGGCTTTCAATTAGATCAACATCAACAGCCTTTTGATCTTCTTCATTCTTTAATCTCTCAATGAAATCCAGAACATCGGCAACGTCCTTGCGAAGAGCAGAAAATGACACCTGCCAAAATAACACATATCAAAATTTTAAAGCCACATGATATCTACAATTCAATACTTTACAGTTCACTCTATCAAAAAACATACCAATGAGTTGTTTGCTTCTTCATTATCTTTTCGTTTTTCCATCATTCTGCTTTTCCTTCCCTTCCTTTCAAGTTCTCAAGACCTGATGCATAATAAAAAGTACATTAAACTTTATCAGGATTAAGTTGATGAAAAGATAAGACTATCAATAATTTTCATTGGACAGACATTTCAATCGAAATTAAGAGGAGGTCTTAAGTTGAAGAAAATAAAGGTGAGTAGTCTATTGAATTTTTGAAAGTTTCTGCATAATAAACTTGTAACCATTTTCTTCTTGTCAAGTTCATTTCATTAAATTTTGGCTACTCCTTTTTACTATTTTCATGCTAAAAGATTTCCATCTTGCGGTGGTTTTCGTATTTGTAAATAAAAATAAAAATTATTCTTATTGAGGTTTTGTCAAACATCAAATGGTGCATAAAGAGAAAGTATAGTAATTTTGTATTCGCACAATTAGTTTCTATCATGTATAATGGACTACAAAATTAAATCTCCCGTTTATCATGTGCAATCTCTAGTCTAGAAATCTGATACTCTGTCCTCTTCAGACCACTTTCTGGTTTCTTTAATTACCCCTCATTTTTAGATTTTTATTAGCATTACTATAGTGGGATTTCAAAAAAAATAAAATGGGATTCATCCATAAACGAGACCAAGTGGTACCGAACCTTTCCATCTCTCATAACTTATAGTAATATAGTTTCATTAGTGAGGGGGATTTTTCGTCCTCTTAGAAAAAAATATTTAAAAGATCTGCTTCTATTCACTCCGCTCTCTCCAACCCCCTCCCTCTCACCCAGTAAGAATTCACCCTTACCGGATGTTAATACCAAACTAATACAACTTATCATGGGAAAATAATAATTTAATGAGATGAATATATACATTAACTAACTACGATTAAGTGATAAGGTCATGCATCTATTGATTTGTTGTAAACAGCCGCTAAGAGTAAGTATTTAGTCCTCTCTCTTGCTCCTGCATTTTGTTTCCCTTTATAGATCCAACTAACCTACCAAATTTCTTTCATTTTCCTTACATCACTTTTACTTTTCCATAATTTTACTTCAATAGAGATGAGAGTAGCAAATATTAGATGAGTTGACTAACCTTTTTAGTTGATGAAACTATAAATCCTCTGCTTGCTTTGTTATTAGATCTATAGAGCTCAAAATTCTGGAAATAAACAGAGGAATAATTGAGACCAAATATGATGCATAGTATCATATCATCATCATCATATATTATTATAAGTGGGAAGAGCTTAACCTCAAGAGTTGAATTACGAAAATACCCTATATTAATTAAAAAGTAATAAAAATTAATTAAATAATAATCATATATCATATTATTATATTATTATGCTAATTATATTATTATGCTAATGCTAATCATCATATACCTACTTGTTTGTTTTCTCCCGTTTGTTGGCTTCTCATTTCCTTCCTAATCTTAATTATTCTCTCTCTACTTATAAATATTCACTTATTGTTATAATCTATTATTACTATTACTATATAAGAAGAGTGAATAAAATTC